CTTGGCAAAAAATAAAGCCCTGGAAATGGATGGAATACCAATTGCCATATTTCAACAAACAGATACTGCCCTGCATGTGCTCACCAAGTTGTGCCATGAAATCTGGAGGACAACTACCTGTCCAACTGACTGGAAGAGATCCATATTTATTTCTATTCCAAAAAAAGGTGACCCGACAGAGTGTGGAAGTTATCATATAATGCCACTTATATCACACACAAGCAAAATCCTGCTGAAGATTATCCGAAAACGACTGGAACAGTACATTGAAGTAGAACTACCAGAAATGCAAGCTGGGTTTAGAAGAGGCAGTGGCACTAGAAACATTATTGCCAATGTCAGATGGTTCTTGACAGAAAGCAAAGAGTACCAGAGGGATATCTCTGTGTGTTTCGTTGACTATTTAAAGGCATTTGACTATGTTGATCACAACAAATTGTAGTTAACCTTGAGGAGAATGGGAATCCCAGAACACTTAATTGTGCTTATGTAAAACCTATACTTGGACTAAGAAGCAGTCCTCAGAATAGAACAGGGAAATACTGCATGGTTCTAAATCAGGAAGGGAGTGTGTCACGGATGCATCTTTCTCCATACCTTTTAAATTTATTTCAGAGCAGATCATCCAGGAGGCCAGGCTTTATCAGGATTGAAGGAAGACTCATCAGCAACCTATGTTATGGAGATAACACATCCTTACTTGCTGAAAATGAGGTGTACAGACCTGAAGCACTTGGTACAAAAGGTCAAGGACTGCAGTCTTCAATATGAATTGAGGTTCATTATTAAGAAGACAAAGATTCTCATCACTGGGCCAATTAATTGGCAGCACTAGGATAGATGAAGAAGAGATTGAGGTTGTTAACATTAAAAGCTTACTTGGCTCCACAATCTACACTCTTGGCACCAGCAGTCAGGAAATCAAAAGATTAATTGCATTGGGTAAATCTGTTATCAGGGATCTTTCCAGAGCACTGAGAAACAATAATGTCAGTTTAGAGACTAAGGTGAACCTGATCCAGGCCATGGTCTTTGCAATTACTTGCTATGCATCAAAGAGCTGAACAATGACTTATGATGATAGAACAATTGATGCTTCTGAGTAGTGGTGCTGCGGAAGAGTCTTGACTGGCAAGAAACAAAAAGATTTGTCTTGGGGTGGGCAAAACCAAGTTTCTTCTTGGAGGCTAGGACTTTGGAGCTCTGTCTTACAAACTTTAGGCATGTGTTCAAGAGGGACTGGTTCATGGGGAAGGATATCATGCTCGGAAGGGTGAAGGAACAGGAGAGGAAGACCTCAGATGAGATGAATTAATACAGTGGCCAGGGCAATGGGGTAAGTGTGTCAGAGTCAGTGAGACTGGCTCAGAACAGGGCAAGCTTCAGAGCTGTTGTACATAGGGTCACTATGAGTCACAGGTGATTTGATGGCACATAACAGCACAGCAAGCTACCATGATATAAATTAGACTAATGTGTACATTTTTCTCTTATCAGGGAGTTCTGGTGGCCTAGTGGTAAGAAAGTACACTGCAATCCCAAAGGCTTGGAGTTCAAATCCACCAGCTGCTCCACAGGACAAGGATGAGCAATCTCCTCCTTTACAATTAACTGACTCTGAAAACCTGCTGGAGGGGCAGCTATGGGTTGGTTCTGACTTGATGGTACTAAATAGCAACAACATATAAACCTCCTTTAGTAGTCGCTTTCCACAGAGCAGTTGCTTAGCCCACCCAGTTAATCTGTTCATCCTAAATTTTGACACTTCTGTATTTCCTTTGACATGCAAATCAATTCCAATCCCCATCGGTGGACTTCAACTTCTTCTTCCCTCCGGTTAAGTATTACCCCTCAAATAAAAGAAACAATTCTACGTGAGAAGATGAGGAGAGGTGGGTAGAAAGTCCTTGTTGCCTCCAGGATGATCTCATTCTTTCCCCAAGAAGATTGAGCATCTGGAGTAAATATCCACTGGCTTTTCTTTGCCCAAATCAGAAACTTCCCCATCTGAAGGAAAGAAGAAGCCTTGAACTCTCCCAGAAAGTAAAGTGTGTTACAACCAGTCTTCTAGATATGAATATATTGTTGTTGTTGTTGTTATGTGCCATCGAGTCATTTGCGACTCATAGCGACCCTGTGCACAACAGCCCTAAACCCTGCTCTATCCTGCGCCAACCACCCTGCCTCTGACACACCCATCCCGATTACCCCAGTCACTGAATCAATCCATCTCATAGAGGGTCTTCTCCTCCTGCGCTGTACCCTCCACCCTCCCAAGCATGATGTCCCTCTCCAAGGACCCGTCCCTCCTGGCAACATGTCCAAAGTATGTCAGACGAAGCCCCAGAATCCTTGCCTTCAAGGAGTAGCTTGGTTTAATCCTCTCCAAGATGAATCTGTTTGTTTTCCTGGCAGTCCATGGTACATTCAGTACCCTTCTCCAGCACCACAGCTCAAAAGCATCCACTATCATTCTGTCCTCCCTAGTCATTGTCCAACTCTCTGATGCATAACAAGCGATTGCAAATATCATGGCCTGTATCAGGCGCACCTTAGTCTCCAGAGAGACACTGTTGCTCCTGAATACCTTTGAGAGGTCCCTAACAGCTGACTTTCCCATCGTGATATGCTTTTTGATTTCCTGACTGCTGGTACCAAGAGTGTTAACTGTGGAGCCGAGCAAACTGAAGCTGTGAACAATCTCAATCTCTTCGTCATCCATCCTGACACTGCTAATTGGTCCAGTGGCAAGAATGTTTGTCTTCTTGACATTGAGCCTTAGTCCATACTGAAGGCTGCAGTCCTTGACCCTTCGCAGCAAGTGCATGAGGTCCTCCTCAGTTTCAGCAAGCAGGGTTGTGCCATCTGCAAACGCAGATTGTTAATAGATCTTCCACCAATCCTGATGCCACAATTCTCCTCATAGAGCCCAGCCTCTCGGATAATCTGCTCTGCATACATGTTGAAAAGGTATGGAGACAGGATGCATCCCTGGCGTACACCCTTCCCAATTTTGAACCATGCAGTGTTACCCTGCTCTGTTCTGACTACTGCCTCTTGGTCCAAGTATAGGTTTCGCATTAGCACAATTAAATGTTCTGGGATTCCCATTCTTCTCAGAGTCAGCCACAGTTTGTTATGATCCACACAGTCAAATGCCTTTGCATAATCAATGAAACACAGATAGACATTCTTCTGGTATTCTCTGCTGTCAGCCAAGATCCATCTAACATCAGCAACAATATCCCTAGTACCACGACCCCTTCTAAACCCAGCCTGGACCTCCGGCAGTTCTCTGCTGATGTGCTGTTCTAATAGTTTTTGGATAATCTTCAGTAGAATCTTGCTTGCATGTGAAATCAATGACACTGTTCTGTAGTTTCCACACTCAGTTGGGTCACCTTTCTTTGGAATGGGAACAAATATGGATCTCTTCCAGTCAGTTGTTAGGATGATATAATTTTGTATGGTGGGAATGGCCTACATACGGGACACAGGAAAGAAGAAGGCAGAGCCAGCTGAAGTAAAGATGGGGGGTGGGGGGGAGATGAGACAAAGACTGAGCAGCATTTTTTCCCCAAGGCGTTTCTTCCTCTCAGTCAATGGAAGAGAGACAAATACCATGAATAACTGAAGTGGGAGCTGGAGTGATAGTAATTAGTCATTAGTCCAATTGCTTTGACAGCAACTATGTGCACCTCTGACTTTGAACTCTAGTCAGCTCTCTTTTGCCTTGGTATTTCTATTCTTTGTGTTCATGGAGATGAGAGATGTAGACCCAATCCAGACAAGAAGATTGTGTAGTCTCCACACCCTCTGAAAGGCATTTCTTTAAAAACAGTGAGCATATGTTGCATTATCATTCTTGTTCAACCCCATTGGTGGACTTCTTCTTCCCTCCCATTAATCATGTCATCACCTTCTGTGTACCCTAAGTTGGATTTCTTTTTAAATCAAGACATCTCTGACTCCTTCATGGCACAACGTGGGTTTCTGGCTCACACAAAGTATTCCTGCCTGAAAGGAACTATGGTGACAAGTCTATCAATGATTCTTGCAAGGTATCCAAACTATGCCATCTTGCTTCAACAACCCTACCTGTATTTTGGGAGGGCAAAATGCTTTGGGATCAATAGACTAAGGAAACCTCACTGATCTTTCTTATCTGCAATCTTAGCAGGATCATGTGGATTAATTATTTCATTATTCAAAGACTTTCCAAAGAGGTTAAATGCAAGGATAACTTTTATAAATATGTTTCTTATGCTCTAGTATTTAATTTCTTCTACCAAGGTCTTCTTTTGCTTTGCTGCATTTCCAGAGAAATCTTCTTTTATCTTGTCCCTCTCACCCTATTAAGAAACATTTTCTCTAGTTCCTTCTATTATTCTAAGGATCTTACTGTTATAATTGCCCACTGTGTTCTATCACAGCCAGAATAATTATTAATCTTGATAATGGGATGATAGTGTAGTCTAGAGACTTGCTGATTGAGAGGTGGTTACATCGTGATAATTCATCTGACACACTGATATTCCCCTCTACTTTCCAAAGAGTTAAAAGTGACCAAATGAGAAATGTTTTACAGTATTCCAGTTTAATGGGGATCCAAAACGTTCAAAAGAAACAACCAGAACCCAGCATGTACAGGAGAGGTTAGACTTGCCCCAGGAGATTTACTGGCTCTCATTATAAAACTATAAAACTTCTACAACCAGCATCGTGTCCTGCATTCATGACCTTCCTGGAGGTAAGATGGAGTTTCTCAACAAACTATATTGCCTTTTCAAGTGCACATCTCTAGTCTCCACGGAACATACCACATACACAACGGAAGCACCAAATCTCAGAGGCCATTGGGCAACAGGTAAATGGGGCCAGTTGGTCCAGCATCCAAACCTCACCTTGGCAGGTGTTGGCAATGTGTGCCCTGAGACTTGTGCTAAGCTGTGTGGCTCCTTCCTGTTGTCCGGGTCTCTTACAGGTTGGCCTTGCTCGGCCTAATCCTCCCTTCTTCTCTGCAATTTAGTCCGGGTTTCTTCTTGTCGACGTCTCCATGCAGCAATGATGGCTTCATCGTCCATCTCTCCCTCTTCCTCTCCGTCAGTGCTTCTGTGATACTGGGACCGCCGCCCTGAAGCAAACCTCCCTTCTTCTTTGCTTTCCATCCTCTCCTTCTCTCCTTCCTCTTCAGACCTCTTGAAGCTCTGAGTGAACTTTCTCTTAGCTCCAAATTCTGAAAAATCAGATTTGGATGACTCTTCTACATCTTCCCAGTCCCTGGGTCTGGCCCACCTTCCATGCCGAGGCTCTGGAGACTCTTCCTCATCAGAGGCCTCAGGGGTCCGGCGGAAGAAGTAGGGCTCCGGGCTCTCCTCTCGGGAACTTGAGGTCTCACTGAACATGGACCTGGAGAACTTGTGCATCTCTCTGCCCTCTCTGGTGGAGGAAGAAGAGAACCGGGAAGTGCTTCTGACAGAGCTGCCATTTCCCTCCTGGAAGGAGGAGGTGTCCTGTTCTTTTGACTGGGACTTGGAGAATCTGTAACTGGAGGATTTAGACTCTGTCTCCCGGAGCGTGGACGATCTGGTGTACCTCCCTCTGGAGCTACCTGACCAATCGCTTTGCGGAGGAGACTTGTCCTCTGCTCTGAGGCCACTGAGCCACTTATTAATGCTACAATCTTTTTCTCTGTCAGCCCTGCCATCACCTCTACAATAATCAGAGATGGCCAGAGAGGAAGAGGTGTCCGTTTCAGGTTTTTGGGAATTGCTGCGAGAGGAGTATTGGAAGCTTCCGATGGCACTGTCAGTGTCCTCATTCCTGTCACTAACTTCATCCTCTTCATCTTCCTTGACCTTCTTCTTCTTGAAAAGGGAGCTGCGTTTGTGATCTGAAGCCAGCTTCTCCATTTTGTACTCGGACATCTTCTCCTGCAGTTCCATCTGCATCTCCTTCTCCTTCCGGCCCAGCTCCTTCAGGTTCACGTTGTCTGCGAAGAGGCTGTAGATGGGCTTGCTGGTCCCAGTCACTCTACTCCCCCTGCCCTGGGACCCCAAGCTCTGCGTGGTGTTGGAAGACAACACAGACTGCCTGTCTGAGCTGAGTCTCATCTGGCTCTGTCCACTGAACATGGAGATCTGGTCATCCCCCAGAGGTCCTGCCTTCAGGCTTGCAGAGGAAGGCGGACGGGACAGCAACAACATTTCATTCTGCTTCTGGGCCAGCGTCTCGTTGACCACGTTGGCAATCCAGTTCTGTATGCTGGCGATGGAGATGGTGTCTCCAGGCCCCACTGGCAGGTTAGGCAGGGGGGTGGTGGGGTTGCTTGCCGCCTGAGACAGGTGGGAGCGGTGGCTCTGGCTGCTGAGGACTGACGCTGTGTCTCCATCAGCACTGACCACCGAAGGGGCCGCAGACGAGAACGCAGACAAGCGGATGCTCATGCTGGTGGCCGAGCTGCCTGCCTCCCAGCTTCCCAAGGACTGGCTCTCCTCTAGCGTCTGCCGGCTCCTCTCCAGCAGCTCCAACCTCCGCTGCCTCTTCTTGGCCAAGGCCAAGTCCTCGCCCTTGCTGAGCTCCACCACCTCCTCCTTGTTCTCGTTGCCCACCTTCTTCTGGTGCTTCAGTTTCCAGGCCTGGTAGGCTGTCAGGTTGACATCTGAGAGGTCCTTCTCCCCCTCGGCCCCCTCGGCTCCCGGCTCACTGCTTCCTTCTCCTGTCTCCGCATCTTTTTTGTGAAACCCAAATTGAATCCTCTTGACCTTCCACCTCTCTAGGGCCGTGAGCTTGTCCTTGTTGCGGCTGCAGAAGTTATAGAAGGAGCTGGCCTCCGAGGCCACACTCTCTTCGTCGTCTTCGCGCACCCGGCCCCCTGCCTCGGAGCTGGGGTCCGCCTGGGCCATCTTGCTCCGGGCGTGGTACTCGCGGGAGGCTTCCTTCTCGATCTCCTGCAGCCTCTCGTTCCACATGTCCCAGGTGCTCTCCGTGGACACCGAGTCAGAGCGACGCCGCCCGGGCCCCTCCTGGCTGCTCCGTCCCAGCTGCTGCGTCAGGACGCGGACGTCACTGCTGCGCATGCTCTGCGTGGACGTGCTGCTCTCGCTCAGCGTGTGCCTCCGCCTGCGCCCCATGAATGAGCCTGCCTCGCTCTCCTCCTCTTCCTCCTCCCTGCCCCACCTCCTCTGGTGCGCTTGCGCCTCATAGCGCTCATTTCGGCTCTGCCACTCGTGGATGATGCTTTCCACGTCCTCGTCCTCCAGGCCCGAGGAGGCTGAGTGCCGGCCATCTCCTGCCTGGGGGACCTTTCCTGTGGGGAAACCTTGCTCCTTCTTCCACTCCTCGTACAGCCTCGCCTCCTCCTCATCGTCGATGAGGGTGAGGGGCTTGGAGGCCCGGCTGGCCCTGCCCAGCGAGGAACCACTCAGGTGACTGGCCAGGTCGTCCTCCTCCTCCACTGTGAGGCCGTGCACGCGGGCCCCCATGGTGCTCCCGGGGTCCTCATCCTCACCGTCCTCGGCCTCTCCTCCCTCCCCACCGTCATCCTCCTCCCTCTCCTCCATCAGCTTCTCGTTGAGCTCTCGGAGCTGCCTCAGGAAGCCGTCGTTGGGGTATATGGCCCGCTTCTTCCGCACGGTCATCAAGGCCTCCAGGATGGCCATGTTGTGGAAAATCATCAGATAGGCCACCACCAGCACTGCAGACCGGCTGATGCCCATTTCGCTGCTGACCAAGACTTTCCCTGCAAAGGAAACGGAGACATTAAGGCACTCCTGAGTGTGAATGAATATATGAGGCAACAGAGAGCCACTGGCTATTCTACTTTCTGAAGGGATGAGTCATTCTTAGAAGTAACACAGCCAGGATGCTCCTAGGATGTGAGGTTCTTGAGACTTTTGCTCTCTTCCTTTGGACACATGACCAGTCTCAAGAGACCAGTAATTAGAAAATGGAAGGAAATCCTCAATGAATTGGACAGAGACCATAAATGGATACAACTATGAATCCAAATAATAAGGATGACAAAGGATAGGACAGCATTTTATTCTGTTATTCTTAGTTTGCTACGAGTTAGAGCTAACACCGTTAACATTAAACTTACAACAATAACATTAAACTTGAGTAGCCAAAGGGATCGCAGCACAACTACAGCAGCTTCCCTGTAGTTAAAAAAAAAAGTGGTGCTTTGATGTGCTGGCCTTCACGTGTTCACTATGCCTCTGGTATTTGTCCATGCGCATATCACCTGAGGAATAAGCACCATTGTCCTCAGATTACAGATGGGGACCTAGAATGTTAAAACCATGCAGGGAGGCTGTTGTGTTTATAACCATTGTCTGTGGTGCTTGGGGTGGGGAAAAAATTAACAACCACAGTCTCCGCTTTTGAAACACCTGAATGTATTTCTCTACCCGTCAAATTGAACACAAGGGATAAAAATAAAGAATGTGGTAAACAGGCAAAGGAGAAGACAAATGAGAAACTGAGAAAATGTATCAAGAAAGGTAGGATCTTGACGCTGGAGAGGGTCACAGAAGACACAGTTTAAGCTCTCGGGCTATTTTAGAATTCACTGGCTGGGTTCCGTTTGCACTAGAATGCTCCTAGAGACTGACATGTCACCATCATACACACACTTACACCCTTCTCCATATTTAGATCTATCTAATTTTTGGGAAGTTTATTCTTTTGTTAGGCCAAATATGGTTTTCTTTAGCATACAGCCAGTGCTTGACCACTGGCATTCAATAAGAATATATCTGTATGCACTAGATCTTTTATTTAAAAAAGAAAAAAATCCTTCAGTAGGTAACTATCATATTCCTACGGAAGAAAAAAGAAAAAGGTTTTGTTCCTTTCTAGGTTATTCTGATTCGTTCTAATCACTTCTTAAACATAATCTCATGTTCCCTTACTATTCTCAAGCCATTTGACGGCACATAACAACCACAAGAAGTTACTATTCTAATCATGCTTCCCTAAGTCTAACTTTATATTATTGAGATTTTTTTTTTCTGAGAAATTATCTCCAGGATAAAGCAATGTACTTTAGGTTAGAACTGATCCACAGAGAGCAACACGGTCCCCTGAACACCCTAGATCTGGACACTGGGTCCTTCCTGATGCCATTGAAGCATGCAATGTGGGTGGATACATTGCACAATGAACTTGAATTATCTTTTATATCTTCTTATAAAGCCTGTCACACTTTTAAACAAAACTGCTCTTACCCCTGGTATCTCTAGTAGCATTTCTTAAACATATGTAAAATATTATAAGTTCCTATTAAATATTTTTTTAGTTGTGGACTACAGAAATATTTGCAAGTCTATCATCAACAGATAAATTGTCTCCTGCCACCCCGTCTGCACTGCATTCTTCATAACTTGATAAGCATTCCTTCTGTGCCTTTATCTGAGAAATTATTTAAAAGGCAGAGAAGAACCACTGGAGACCTTTCTCCAGGCGGTCATTAATCTGCCTGCCAACAATTTGGCAGATATTTGTTAAATTGGTGGAGAGTCCTACCTAACAATGTGGTGGGAGAGGGGATTGAGAGACCTTTTTGTTACTATAGCTTTGCACAGGTTAGGGTCATGTGTTTATCCACAGGAGGTCAGAGACAGGCAAGACTGGAGAGGATTGAAAGGCATCATTGCCAGGAGCCATCAGCCATGTTAGGAAGGTAAGAAATCAGAATGAAAGCCACTAAAACCGCATCTATAGATTCCGTTTCTTTACTCTCCTTGGGGCGATGGTTGTTCATTGGTAGTATTATCTCCTTTTATGTGGGAGACCTGGGGTCCATGTCCAGCCAATGCACCTGAAGAATAGCCACTACTCATCTGTCCATGAAGGGTTGCATGTTTTGTGATGATGAACAGGTTTTGGGGAACATTTCAGACTAAGATGGACTAAGGAGAAAGCCTTGGTAAAACCCACCTGTGAATTGCAATGGTCTGATCCCATTGTGCACCTTGGACCAGCTCGACAATAGCTAATAATGATATTCTTCAACTGTCCCCTACTAAAGTCCTCCACCCACCTCCTTAACTGTCTGACCAGGTAATAATCCACAACTGATAGTCCCAAAGTTTCATTCTCCTCCCTTGGAAGTAGAACCAACAAGCCAGGTCACCTGAAGACAGGATCAGCTAGTCTTCTCCAGAAAGGCACCAAACACTGCTTAAACCCATTCTGGTCAGAATCATGTTTTCCCATGTTGTTCCTTAAACTCTGGAGAGTTCTCCAAGGGGCCCCAAGGAAATCCCAATGGACAAGGGAAAGGTAAATGGATTCTGGGACCCACTCTCTTCAGTGAAAGCAGTGATAAGCTTTTCTTTCTCTGGTTAGGCAGGGGACCCTTCCTGATGGCTGTGTAGCCTACTCCGCACAACTTGAGGAGATGACCTGCACACTGAAGTCAGTAGATTTGTTAAGCAGTAAAATGTCTTTAAGATCGAGAATAAGCTTCACAGCCACTGCTTGGGTTAGCAGCAGACTTGACTCTTGATGTGGTTCCTGTGTTTTAAAATTTGAGAAGTTCAGTGCAGAATGCATTGAACTTCTGTAAACTGATTTCACATTCAGATTCTCGGCATGCTAGTGATGATAATGGAGCAGACACTTGTGTTGTATATGCTCAGCTCATGTTCTCCTCCACCCCACCTCAACCCCCTACCAGGTCTCAGAATGTAGACCGGACCCTACCCTCATCCAGAAAACACTGATGCCCTTGTTCAGAACAACCACCATTACTACTCCCTCGCAGAATTTGGGGAGATGTATGACTGTTGTTACATGCTATCGAGTCCACTGTGACACTTAGTGACCCTGTGAACAATGGCTTTGAACCTTACCTTACCCTATCCTGAATCAAGCTCACGGTCTGACACACCTGCCCTTATAGCTACAGTCAGTGTCAATCCATCCCATCCAGGGTCTTCCTCTACTGCACTGTCACTCCACTCTTCCAAGAACTATCTCCTCCTTACAATGTGCCCAAAATATTGGAGACAATGAAGTTTCAAAATCTTTGTCTCCAAGGAGCAACCCTTTCCAGGACAAACCTGGCAGTCAGTCCATGCTATATCCAGTACTGTTCTTCAGCGTCATAACTCGAACAGTTTTGTTTTGAAAGGCCTTGGAAAGCCCTATGAATTCAGACATATGACCAGAGGCTGCCAATTTAATTCTCTCTCCAGGGAATTTTGAACTGAGAATGAGGCAGGAAATTAACATGAAATTGTGTGGCCTGTGGAGGATCATATTCTATCAGAGGTGAAAAAAAAAAAGAAGATTGCAACCAACAGCGCTATCCTGCCCTTGATCCAGAACCATCCTGGAATCAATTACATCCCTGCCTTTGGATTCTTTCCTGAATTTTTTCCTCTTCTTCTTTCTTGGGTATTTTAATTGATACTTTTGCTACATATTACATAATTTGAGATGGTTTTAGTAACAAGGTAATAGTTAGTAACCCCAGATAATATGAGTTATTGCATTGTGACAAAGTCACTTAACCTTCCAGGGACCTCAGTTTCCCCATTTGTAAAATGTAAACAAGAGCCTCCACTATGTGAAGTAACATGTCCCACACTCGAGCTCCAGTTCCTTCATCTCAGTCAGCAGGAGTTGATTTCAAAGCATCATGTTGTTGAATGTAGCAGGGACTGGATTCCTTTTGATAGTGGTCTCATATCACAGAGTGAAACTGCTTCTACTTGGGACTTTCTTGGGATCCAAATGCTTCATCTCGCTGGTGGTTCAATCCACCTGTAGGTTCCACAGGTGAAAGATGGACAATCTCCTCTTGTTCAGTTGGCAGCTTTAGAAAACCCATTTCTTCCTGTTCCATTTACAGCTAAAGGGTCAGTTACCTGGGTTCTGATAGGACAGCCACACAGGGCACTTTTGCTTTAGTTTTTGTTGTTTGTTTGCAAATCTTTACCAAAGGAAATGGCCAGGTCTTTTTCCCTCAGAACCACTGGATGCTGTTATAGCAACTTAACTACTAGGGGTCCCTCAAAAGCCTTTTAGATGTGAGGAAAATGCAGAAACTTCACCTCAGGAAGCAGTTCTAGAAATATAGAAAGCCTCTCAACCAAATGTTAAAACTAACCAAGCACAAAGCACCAATCGTCCTTTCCCCTCTCTGGCAGGGATGCAGAGAAGCAGGCAGGCAAGACTGAAAGGCTTGGTGAGGCAGCAAGGGAAGAGGAATCAATCCGCTGCATTGTGTGTTAGCGCTGCAAGGGACCGTGACCTCATCTGGTCCCAATGGCCTCAGGCCCCAGCAGAGAGAGCACACTGGCCAGCAGGCACTGTTGCATTCGCTCCTGGCCAGGGATGCCCAGCTTGGCACAAGCATGGGGGGACATTGCCTTCATTAACCCTGAATGGAATCTGTCCTGCTCCCCTCTGCACACCACCCTGCATCCCACCCCACCTGAGCACGCTCCTACCCCACCTCCCTCTTACTAGCTTTCACTCTTGGTTCCAGAAGGTGTTCAGGAGTTCCTCTGTGTGTGTACCAGCACTGTGGGAGGACAGCGGCCAGCATCTGACAGAGTCTACACATGTTGCCCCCTGTACCCACCTCTAGACTGGCAGGGGACATCTATTTATGGTCTCCAACCCCAAGGAAAGAAAATGGAACAAAAATCCTTTGCCACAAAATATTTGACAGATCCATTCAACACCACTTTGATCAAAACAATAGTCTTCCTACCCCTCCATTTT